ATTACCCCCACAAAACAAAAAAAAAACTAAAAAAACCTCCTATTTACTTTCAGAGTACAATAATGTTCAATAAGAATGTGTTCTTCTTCGGGCAAAAGCTCTAGCATGTAAGGAGCTCACTAGCGCCCCCTATTCCATAATTGTCTTTGCTGGTTATGTTGTAGAATCAATGGCCCATTAGGGCACACCACAATGCAAAATTAAAACGCAAAGTGTGAGCAGTGCTAGTTGCAATAGAAAGAAAACACAAATTTAAAACGTTTTGTGTTTTATTTGTTTTTGATTTGTAGTTATTTTTGATTTGCAAAAGCATGTTATGTTGTGCACTTATGGGCCTGTTATGAAACACTTATCTTTTGATATTTTATGAATCCTACATCGCTTGACATGTCTCGTTTAACCCAGGTGATTAAAGGGGCCATATTATGCGAAATTAACTTTTCTGACATTCCTAGCATCCTCACCAACTTAGATTTGTTAACGGACCCAACGTTACCGAGAGCAATGCCGCCTAATAAATTTTGATGTTTCAATATTAGCAGTTATGCTAACCAACCCAGCATTGCACAAAACCCCTGAAATCAGTTAATAATAACAACAAAACACCATTAGATGAAATAAACACATTCCCGATTTCAAACCCCTACAGTAATTGCATTAAATAGATTCAAACTTTGTTCAGTTACTTTCTCAATCAAACAGCACGAGAGCATTTATCATACACAGGCACTGAACTGCGTGAAGCGCGTTGTTGTTACCACATATTTACTGTGTATTCATTCGCTTGCAAAGTGATGAGACTTACACAGAACTCCTCGATGCCCTTTGGACTTTATTTATCTCCCTTTCCAGGCCGGGTGACGCACATAAAACTTTTGTCATTTGAACAACTTCACGCCCATCAATGGCACTACATTACCCATGATTCCCAAAACTACAAGGCGCAAAAGGGGACATGGTGAAAGCACGACTGTGGGAGGAACGGGGGTAAACAGTGCATTTTGCAGAGGCAAAATTTTGAGGTGATTCAAAAACGTTTTTTTTACATTAATGTTACATTTAGAAAGTTATTAACGGTGCAGCGCTAGTATAGAGAGATCTAATATTTATTATAACTGCTTAATATAGCCAGTTTTCTTTTATCAGTTGCTCACGCCTCTTTCCACCAAGCCACACCCCAACCTACTCTCCGCAGTCGGTCCCTGCCCATTTTTTTAATCATCAAGTGCAGATGAGACCTGAAACAGGTGAATCTCATGGCCCTTTAATCTGATTGGTTATGCAATTACATACAGTATTGCAAAAACATGCACAAAAAACTGTAAACAGAACTTTCCACATGTCTCTGGTGGGGAGAAATACAATAAAACATGGCAGAAAGCTCCAAAAAGTTGATTTTGCATAACATGGGACCTTGCCCTTGCAATAAAGCGAACGTTGCTGCCCCAGTGTGCGTTTGTGGGAAGGAGCCGGTTCTTCACAGTAACCTCTGGCCGGTGCTGAGTGAGTCAACTCGCATCGATCGAGCACCACGTCCTGAGGCGAATCTACGGTCACTGATGCAAGAGATACCTTCTGTACGGCTGCACCTCTTCCATTCATCATATTCATTCTCCAATGATAAACCAACCGACTCACGATGCATCTGTAACCTAATCAAGTCTTTCCGCACGCATCGTCTTCCCTCCTGAGCCGGCAGCAACCTAATTGAAACAAATATTTCCATCATTGTATTATTGCCACATAATGAGGCTTCTTACGTGCCTTTTATTTCTCTGACATTTGCCCCCGAGCGCTGCGGGCGTGGGCCTTTTTGCCTTCTCTGGCAGAAGATGGATGATGCCCCCGAGTGAAGAAGGCTGAAAAATAGCCCTGCAGTCCGCATTCAAATCTACTGCCTCATTTCATCAGTTTTAACAGCCTCATTTAAAGGCACTTAATGACTCTTGGAAATGTCCGGGTGGAGGAATGGATGCTCTCAGGGTTGTTGTGTTGTCCGCATGCATCTCCATTACATAGAAATGGCATCAGAAGCACCAATTACCGGCCGCAGACTAAAAGGCCGCTACAGTCACAACAATGTGGCCATTTTTTACGCGTTTAGGTTTTTTGTGGCCGTTACATCACGTTATAATTTTTTTACAAGGCTACCTTATTACTTTGCAGTGCAGGTGATTTATCATGCTCTACAGATGAGCTCATGCTCTGTGGGTAATGCCAAGCAGTTTTAAGAGCTCCAAGAAAGGATTTCTTTATACGTTGTTTTATTTAAACAGCTTTTAATTTTATTTCCATCTATATGTTTAATTCTACGCAGTTAGCTGTAGCTGAGAGCCCATTAAAAATGTATGTCATGCCGTACGCTATATACAATTTATAAGCTGTATATTATTGTTGTTATATGCTATATCTTCTTTTTATGCTATATGCTATATTTTAAAGTTATGCTAAGTTACATGCTATATGTTAATGTTGTTATGTTAGCTTTGTGCTATATCTTAACGTTATGCTACATCATATGCTATATCTTAACGTTATGCTACGTTATATGCTATATGTTAATATTGTTATGTTAGCTATGTGCTATATCTTAACGTTATGCTACGTTATATGCTATATCTTAATATTGTTGTGTTAGCTATGTGCTATATCTTAACGTTATGCTACATTATATGCTATATCTTAATATTGTTATGTTAGCTATGTGCTATATCTTAACGTTATGCTACGTTATATGCTATATCTTAATATTGTTATGTTAGCTATGTGCTATATCTTAACGTTATGCTACGTTATATGCTATATCTTAATATTGTTGTGTTAGCTATGTGCTATATCTTAACGTTATGCTACATTATATGCTATATCTTAATATTGTTGTATTAGCTATGTGCTATTTCTTAACGTTATGCTACATTATATGCTATATCTTAATATTGTTGTATTAGCTATGTGCTATTTCTTAACGTTATGCTACATCATATGCTATATCTTAACGTTATGCTACGTTATATGCTATATCTTAATATTGTTATGTTAGCTATGTGCTATATCTTAACGTTATGCTACGTTATATGCTATATCTTAATATTGTTGTGTTAGCTATGTGCTATATCTTAACGTTATGCTACATTATATGCTATATCTTAATATTGTTGTATTAGCTATGTGCTATTTCTTAACGTTATGCTACATCATATGCTATATCTTAACGTTATGCTACGTTATATGCTATATCTTAATATTGTTATGTTAGCTATGTGCTATATCTTAACGTTATGCTACATCATATGCTATATCTTAATGTTGTTATGTTAGCTATATGCTATATCTCAACGTTTCGCTACTTTATATACTATATCTTAATGTTATTTAAAGTTATATGCTATATCTAAATATTATAAAATATATATATATATATATATATATATATATATATATATATAAATAGCATATAGGTATATAAATCATAAAATGTAAAATATAATTATATATATTTATAAATATAAAACAGAATATACATAGTATATAAAAAAATATAGAAATATAGTTACTCCCTAGCTACACCTTCCCTTTTTGGAATATTTGTACTTGTGATTTCAGCATCTGCTCATTTCTGCAGGCTTCGCTAGCGGATGCTAATCTTCACTCACTGACCTGTTTTCAGGTTTCACAAAAGCCTTTAATTACTAACTCGCTGGAATCAGATAAGGTGTATCTAGACTTAATTACCGTCGACAAAAAGGTCGAGCTGAAGAATATAAACAATTAGCTCCAGCTTCAATGCTGATACCGATGGATGTTAAATAGTTCTATAAAGTAAAGTTTGAATGTCACAGTGTGCTTTGAATGTGGACACCACTTGTTTACTGATTGGTTTAGAGGGTTTTGTTCATGTTTCGTTTGTGTCGGGAACAAAATTTTGATTACATTTGCCATTTTGTGCTTTTTGTAGTAGTTATTTTATCGGGCGCAGCCCTTTTTCGTTCAGTTGGAAAGATAGCAAATGTATGTTCGGTTTGTCGGGTTAATTCAATGAAAATTACTTGTTTGAATATACTACATGCAAATTAATAACTGCAATGATTGCAGTCTTGATTGTTTTATTGTCTGCATCTTATAGAAATTATTTCATACAAAGCAATTCTCGAAGTTGGGAAGCACAACAAGCATTTTAATCTTTGTATATTAAAGTCACCTTCATATTCATCCTCATCCTTTTGTTTATCCTCAGAACATAAGTTAATGCCTTTGAAAATAGGAGTTTTATTCTTTTGCTTAGACACTGAATTCCATTGCAGTTCCATACATTACCTCATACTCAGGGAGTTCCCTTAACAAGTGCACACATGACATGCAAATGACATGCAAATATATAAAAAAAGAGTGTTTCCTCAACAAAAAAAGGAGTCTGAAATCAATCTGTAAACGTATTTAATCAAAAGCTGAGATTCGTTGTTGCCTGAACGCACATTGGCTAGTGTTTGATTCGTTTCGGATAAGATGGTACGGGCAACTCATACGGACGCCTCATTTCGGCTGATTGATAAGTGAGTGGTTTTCCAGAAAGATATTTGTAATTGATCTCCCCGTCATCATTTTATTACTCCTGCTCATCATCCCCTGGGACTGAAGCCGTCTCATTAGCGCTCGAGTCTGTCAGAGAGTGGACGGCAGATGGGAAGTGAACACCTGTGATGACTCTTTGTGTGTTTGAGCGCCTCGCCTCTGGAATCTCGACTATTTAGTCGTCAGAAAAATTAGAAAAAGCACTGAAAGAAAAGCGTGCGGATGTTATACTACAGTGAATTCAATCTCGTCTTGTAAGTGGATTTTTCTAATCTTCCTTGAGCCCGGCATTGGTTGAAGCTTGGTGAATGTGGTTTATTTCTTCAAAGATAACAGTGATTTAAAGCTAAGAGACTGGCACAGAGGCTTATGGTCTTGCTTTTTGGAAAAAGATACTGCCTTTCTGGATGTAGAGTGAGTGCCTTTTACAAGCTTTCCTGTGGCTCAGTCAGTAGAGCAAGAGGCGCGCAACACTCGAGATTGTGGGCTCGAACCCCAGGGGAAGCCCTGATCAAATGTATTCATTCCAAATACATAAAGTCTCCCACACACAAGTCTTCCAACTACATAAACCTACGTTTCAGAAGCACAAATAACTGGCTACAGACTAAAAGACTTTGCAGATGTAGTTTCAGAACAGTCAGTAACCAAATCCTCAACCAGAGCGATAATGTAGTAATATCTTTGACAGTAAGCAGCATTATGTTTATCATCGTTTTGTCTGGTTTTCAGGGTTTCTGTTTCTTGTCAGGAAGCTAGTTTGGATTTGACATTTCTTGTTTCCTTAATTAGATTATCTGCCTGTTCTTTTCTCTTGTTCTTGTAAATAGTAATGAAGTTGTAGAGTTTCTTTCCTCTTTTGTTCTCTGGATTTTTGGGTGAATCTGTGAATTACTTGTAGCTTAGTTCATGGATTTTTTGGAGGGAGTCCTGAGGTTTGGAACGTGTAGAATGCCTGAAAGGATGAAATGATTGATGTTTGTACACCTCAGATTTTGTACAAAAGCCAGCTTTATGTTTTATTAGTAACAATATTCTATGAGCATTCTTCTTTCATTTGTTAAAGCATGTGCAAGTTCAAAATACTAAATGATGAAGTGCTTTTGCTCAAAGTTGAGGAAAGTTTGCTTTGTGTTTAATATATACATATATCATTTGTTTCGCTAAAGTTATATAACACTTAAACACTTTGTGTTTAATGTGGTTCATAAAAAAAAAGTATTGTACCAGGAAAAAAAGTGCATCATGCTGATAGTGCCGCTCCCTATACGCGGAGTACACAGTCTGCAGTCTGGCACTAACTGCAAGAGGGGGCACCATTATCACGTTTGCTAATAAAAATGGGAATAGTTATGTATTAATAATAAATTAACAATGGTAATATATATATATATATATATATATATATATATATATATATATGCATTTATATTATAAAGTTTTTTAAACACGAGCTGAATCCAGCTTCTCATTGGCACTTACCGGTCCACCCTTAAAACACAGCAATGCTTCCAGCAGGAGCTTACTCAGTCTTATTCATGCTATTGAGGGAGATCTGCATCGTTTCTTATTCACGGCACGGTTTTTATTTAATATTCATGCATTTGTAGTTTTTCGGAATGGTTTCACATTTTCAAGCTTTGAATAGTGTGTGCGCTGTTATGAAGTTGAATATTTCACAAGGCTCCCTCCCATCGCGTTTATCAAAATAGTTACAATGTAAACAATGTTTTAATGTATTTCTCATTTTCTCTTATAATTGTGTTCAAAAACTCTTAACAAATATTGTAAGTATTCTTGACTGTCCGAATACCAAATTTAAGAATATTTTACATAAGCGTTTTTTAATTATTCCATGCTAAACTTGGCTTTTTAAAAAAAAAAAAAAAAAAATGCATTTATCGAAATTTTGCATTAGACACATTTTGGAGAGCACCGTAGTACATTTCCTCTTAGGGCAACCATTGGCCAGCTGTCAATGAGGGTTCCACAATGAATAATCTTACATTTTCAAAAATAATTAAATAATTACCGTATTTTCCGCCGTATAAGACGCACCCAATTTTAAATGAGGAAGATCTAGAAAAAAAGATTCTGAACCAAATACTGTAATAAAATATTTTATATCAACTGTGTAAAAGTTAACAGCATTTTAAGAACAATTATATGCCAAACATATAACATGGACAGTCAGTAAACAGTAAAAGTAACAAAAAAAAGCTGTAATGTTTCATATCGGCTCCTTACGATCCGCGCTATGGTAGGATCGATGAGCAGACATGGGCGATTACGTCAGCGTGCACCGCCGGGTGTACAAATATGGCCGATGGCTCCGGAGCTAGGCCGAAGCCGTGGCCTCTCTTACGCCTCTCCTACGGCCGTGACCGCCCTCCGCGGCATTCTGCATTCGCCGTATAAGACGCACCAACTTTTTCCCCTCAGTTTTGGGGAAGAAAAAGTGTGTCTTATACGGCGAAAAATACGGTAAGTTATTATCTAGTGCCAAAAATTGTTTTCTTTCTGTAACATGCCAATTTTGCTTTGTCTTCTCAGTTTGTACCATTAAAACAGTGTCACTGATTTCTCACAATATATATCATAGTTCTATATCACGATCACAGTTTTAAAATGTAAATGAAAGTGATGAAAACAGACAATTGTAATCAAGTAACAGCACTATAATTCATTATAATTTTATGGCAATTCAAAGTAGGCTACACATTGTTAAATGTACATCAAAAGCTATTGTTGTCAAAAAATTTAATTTTTTAAAAGCCAGTTATGGCTAGGTAGAAGCAGGGGATGTTGAGACTAGTTTTTATACTTAATCATACAGGAAAATAATAATCATTTTGTTTTAAAAAGGGAAAAAAAAGCACAAAAATATTTTTTTTTTGCTTGAATCAATTTTTAATTGAAATTCAAACGTTTGAAAAATACACTGATTGCAATCAAAAAGCTATTTTTTTATAGTTCTGATATGCATTTGGAAAGCATGATGCCAATGACCGATTCAAGCTCAACAACTAAAAGTTAACATTGTACACAAAACAAAGATTATATAACACTAAACAAATTTGATCCCAGTAGGTTGCAAGGGAAATAATACTTCAGCTAATGTTTCCTCACTGGATTATACAGTGCGTGTGTTCCTGCTCTAAACACATTATGTGTGCAGTGATCCCAGTCCATCTGCGCGCAGGTCACATGACTTTCTGCTTAGATCAGCATCTGGGAGCCTGGAGGGGAAGTTTAACAGCACAAGTAACAAAGCTAATGTCTGAAATATAGACTCGCTGGAGCTGCCGAGAGTGAAGTGAGCGAGAGACAGAGAAACATCCCCTTTCCTTTCAACCACACATCACACATGACCTCAGAAAACTCTCTTATATTTATCTAACAAATGGAAAATTCAACCCTTAGTCCTCCAGCCACCAAACTCTTAAATGTCTGTGATGGATCTCTGGTGACCAACAGAAAACTTTATTCGCTTGCCATCCAAATCCATTGGTTGTTTAAGTTTCTTCTTTTTTTTAAAGTTCATTCCACTGAAATGTCATCACTTTTTGACTAGGAATGTGCTCCAGTGGATTGATATATGCAGATTAGTGTTTAAACAATGGGGCAGTTTATTTTCAGAAAAATCTTGGTGTAGAACAAATGTAAAGGAAAGCCACACTGCTCTGTTTGTTTGTCTCGTTAGAGGCGGTGCTGGTGGGAGGTGCATTATACGTGAGGTCCACACTTTGTTGGAATTAAACTTAGAATTAAATCAATGTTTCACGTCAAAAGCCAGTGAACCCTTTCCTATGAAATATTGAATTTCATTGAATGCAAAAGTGATATTTAGATTTTTGACATCCGACCAATCACAATGCAGTTTACTTCTTTTAGTGTGTTTTTATTTTGTTTATAACCTATTTTAATGGTTATATAAAACATTTTATTTATCTCCTCTCAAAGAAAGTGTTTGCTGCTCACAGAATATTGTTTTGTGCCATTGTTTCCCAATGTTTGCTTTCCTGCAGTCGCTGGTAGTTGAATGGCGTGACATCATCACGCTGTAAATGTGTGCTGGAGTTATTTTGGGAGCCTGTTTATGTGTTGTGGTCAAGATCGTTTCGTTGCACCTGTTTGCAGTGGTCAGCTTTTCTTTCTGGGTATAATTCCTTAGCTGGAGGTAGTGTGTGGAGCAGACTCAGCATCACCCAGCAGCCAGAAATAGAAACATGTGCATCGTTGTGTTGTTTTATTGACCGTTTACTTTCCTTTCTGCCTCCCGAGTTTCTATATACATTAAAAGAACACGCAGGTGTTTAGTTAATTCACATTAAATTGTAGTTAAAACGACTATTTAGACCAGACACTGCCAAAACTCTTCTCCAAATGCTGAGATTGGTTCCTTTGTTTGCATGTCTGAAGCAAACATTTGTAAAGTTGCATACAGTGTAAACCTTTTCTTCTGAGCTTGAGAAGATCTTGGTTTCTGACCACAGAGTGGTGGATGTTGGACTTCATTCTACTACAGATAATCTTTATTTTGGGAATTTAGTATCATTTTGTTTTCTGTGATTGATTTGCACTCGCTCTCTACATTAGTTCAATAATAGAAGTTCTCTCAGGATTTTGAGTTGCCACTTTTTGCTGTTTTACCTTCATGTTAAAGAAAGTATTTCTTAAGTAGCAGCTTTTGTCAAATATTACAGAGATATTGTGTTGAAAAGAGACAAACACTGTGACAGAGCAATAGATTTCTCTTCATGCTCTTCTCATGTCGATAGATGCGTCCCAAATAAGCATAATTTCCTAATTCTTATTTTTATTATTTTTAACTGCAAATTGTGGTTCATCTGAAATCTGATGCTGCTGCTATCCATGGTTTGTTTACCAGAAAACCTAATGTGCAAAGGTTAGCAGCGCTAATCTGAGCAGTGACTCTGTTGTTCCATAGTGTTTAGGAGTTTGTACACGTGGGTCGTGAACTGGGAAATTAATTGTGAGAAACTGAGATTTCTGACATATTGAGCACATGGAAGGGTTGCAACTTAAAAACAATCTTAAAATCACTTTAGTTGGAACAAGCTGTGGGCAAAGTGTGTTGCTTTTAACATGCTAGTCAGCAAATGTTGCTTAAAATAGTTTTCTTTTATAAATTTTTCATGAAAAGGAAACAGTTTATGACCTTTTTAAAACGTTTAGAAACTCACTGAAGTAAACGCACTAATTATTCTAAGAGCTCCAATCTTTTGTGAAGATCTACCGTGACTTCCTCTTATTTCCTTTTTTCCCCTCAGCGATCGCTCGTCAGTTTTCTGGGAATTCTTTTAAGACAAGTGACAAGTGAACCCTGGCAACCCGCGTTTGAGTGTTAAAACCGTTCTCACAGTGCACTTGCATTTCACGCTTGAAGTCCGACACATGAAAATGTATTTCTGCACTCAGTTAAATTTGTCAGAGCAGTCAAGAAAGATCTGGATTTAAACGTCAAACGCATTTTACACTCTGGC